AGACAGAGGCAGATCCCTGAATTGAAAAGGAACGTGGGACTTTCAGGAAAACAAAGGAAAGACCAATGAGCCTGGAAGATAGAAATTAAGTGAGAGAACAGAGTGGAAGAGACTGGAGCAAAGTCCACAGGCATGTTAAGGATTTTTCAGTTTTTACTGCAAAGGGATGTCATGCAAAGGTCTTTTAATGAGTTTATTTTACATAGCAACATTTTGGGTGGGGAGGTGAGAAGTCATTCATGCTATAATGTAGAAAACATTAACCTAACCTAAAATGCTCAGATGCAAGGACATCATCAATGTGCTGTCATAGAGTCCAGAAGAAGGATGTGCGTTTAGACGACATAGTTATTGCAGTGGTTTGAATCCAGACTGCACAATCCTAACGCCCCTAAACAGATATTAAATATATTCTTCACTACCAAGAACAAGAGCCCCTGTAGGATGGCTGATTCCTGTACTGGGGCTGGAAAAATGCAGTATGAAGATAGAGTATCTTGAAAGTAAAGATGTATTCAAAGAAAGAATACATCTTCATGTATTCATGAAGGGGACCTGTATTCTGTCAGGGAACTTGACAGACTTTTATATTATGGGAGCTAGTTTGAAAGTACTAGGTACAGACTTGAGGGTCTCTGGCCAAATCTGCAACAATTTAAACACAAGAAAAATATTTTAATATTAAAAGATTATAATGTTAGGAGAGATGCCATGGTCCCTGCCCCACTTAACTATGGGTGAAGCTGAGTGGCCAGGTGAAGTGATTGACATGGAAGGAAGATGAAGAGAGCTGAATTCCAAAGAGAAAGGGAATTCAGAGATCTTCCAGATTGGTGAATATGTGAGGATTTGGGGAGAATAGGGTGCCTAGAGAGGGCATGGAAACTGCATGCTTTCCCCGACACCCAACCCTATGTTTCTTTCCATCTGGCTGTTGATTTATAACCATTAGTATTATTTGCAATAATTTGGTGATCTAGTAGTAAAAAGTTTTCCTGAGTACTGTGAGCTGCTCCAGCAAATTAATTGAACCTGAGGTGACTGACCCGGGAAACTCTGATTTATAGCCAGTCATAAGCACAAATAATCTGGAACTTGTGACAGTCACTTGAACTATGAGGAGGGAGGTAGTGGGGACCCCTGAAGTATGGCCAGTTGATCAGAAGCATGGGGTGCCTGGGGCTGTGAGTAGGCATCTGAAGTGGAGGGTGGTCTTGGGAAATTGAGCCCTTAAACGGTAGAATCTGACACAATCTTTGGGTAGTTAGTGTCATAACTGAGCTGAATTTGGAAACATCCTCCCGGAAACTGAAGATTGCCTGTTAGTGTAGGGAATCCTCATCCAGGAACCCATCAACAATTCAGAGCCCATGATTCTGCTCATAATATTAGGGGAGAAAGATTGGAAGAAAAGGAGGAAAGAGGAGGGAAAGAAGGTTCTTCTTTATAGAATGACTAATAAACATATAAAGAATATTGGAGTTAGGAAGTTAATATTTGCCAACCATGATCATAATTGATTCAGGGAAGAATCATCAGTGGATGTTAACAAGTGGTTGAAATTCGAGCAGTACCAGGGCATTTTTAGACTTAAATATCTCCTAGCAAAGATAGTTATTGATTATAATGGCAAAAATAAAAACATCTGTGGAAGAAAATGAAGAAGTTTTGAGCAAAGGAAAAATAGTCTTGCAGAGACTGAGTCAGCAGATGAAATGACTGAGAAGACACTATCTTTACCTAGTGATCAAAATGAACACTAGTCACTCTGGGACAGACCCCGGCCATGTGTCCCCTGATGTATGCCCAAAGAGCCCAAGATCACGTCTGTGGTCCTACTCCAAGGCAGAACATGAGTTCAGCATCAAACAAATCCAAACATTCTACAAAATAATTGGATGGTAATTTTTTTTAAAGATAATATCAAATAAAATGACTGTGGAACTGATCCAAATCAAAAGAATCTAAAGTAACATGAGAATTAAATGTGACACATGCTCCAGTATTTCCTTTGACCAAAAGGACATTATTGTTACAGAACGTAAAAGCTGAAAATGTTTATGTATTAGCTAATATTACAATGATGATGTTAATATCCTTATTTTAATGATTGTACTATGACTATGTATTCAAGTTTTTAGGAAACACTGATATATTTAGGGGTAAAGAGACATCATGTTTATAATCTAGAGAACAAAACAGTAAGGCAAGTGTGACAAAAGGACAACATTTCAGAAATTCAGGTGAATGGCATACAGGATTTTTTTGGGGGGTGACATTTCCATAATTCTGAAGTTAGCAGAAAAAATTAAATAATATAAATGTGGGGTATGGAGAGAATGTGGGCTTGGAAGATTTAAGTTTGGGCTTGAATCCTGGCTCTCCTGAATGCATGATATATGATCTCAAGCATTTACTTAACCTGTCCAAGCTTCACTTTCATATCCTATAAAATGTGCATAGAATTTCCCTCCTGGAGTTTTTATGAGCATTAAGTGCTATTACATGTTAAGTGCTCGGCAAGCACAGAGCTGAGGCAATAGAATTGAGAGGAAAGTGGACAGATTCAAAATATAGCAAGATGGTCGTGGGAGGTTATGAGTACTAGATTAGAGCCCATTCTTGTTGCTCCCAGAATACCCATTCTATCACCAGCACATATATAAGGCAACCCTTTGCTTGTATTTCAAGTTCTAAACTAACATTCTCATCCTTTCCCTAATCTCCTATAGGGAAGCAAAAAATCTCCCACCCCAAAGTATGTGGCTTTGGCAAAAGCTTGATTTAATGACAGGGCTCTGAGGGCTGAGTGTAGGTTGCTTTAGAAAAAGATATATTTACATGCAAATTTCTCTCTGTAAGGGCATTTCCTTCACTCTACTGGGAAGACCTAATCTCCTCATCTCATTTCAGCAGAGAGGGCAGAATTGAAGTCTGTATACCTTTGCTTACAGTCATTGCCTTGGTGAACTCTCAAAGTGACCTTCCCCTATCTACCCAACTTTTACCTTCCTTGTCTTGGTTATTGAAGAAGGAGTCTAAAGTCATATAGAAAGTTAGTCATGCCACGTTTCTCCCCGTACACTTTTGGGCTCTTTTCCTAGTCAGTATGTCTGCTGTTTGCTTATTTGTCACCCCAGAAGAAATTAGAAGGATATAGGATGACTTCCTTTGTACCATCACGATCCTTGCTTCTAATTTTCTTGTTGTCATTGTCCTGAGATCTGCTGGGTGGTGAGAGAGAATCACTTGACTGATAAAAGTTGAAAACTAAAATAAATATACCTTAACAAAGAGATAGAAAATAGTCACATATTGATACTGAGCATTTTTAGTACTTACTAAGGCAATTCCTAGAATTGGTCGCATTATTTCAGATGGGTCCCTTACCAGCCCAGAGCACAGAGGAACTGTTCCCTCCCCAGATAAGAGCACTCGGTTTCTATTTATGGAACCCATATTGCTGTGGCTAGAGGTTCAGTTTGAAGTCAATGAATTCCCTCCCCCAGAATTATTTATAATTTAAATCAGTTCTCTCATTGCAGAATTGTTTTGTTCTTATTTCAAGAAAAGTTCATGGCTATCCTGTCACAAGTGAGAGGAAGAAAATTTCTCTGAACTCTTGAAATCTATATGAAGCCCAACTTCTCCCCATGCAAAATGCCAAACCTGTTAAATAATATCCTGTTGTATAGGATAGTCTCTTTACTCTTCTCTCTCTTGGCCCTTGCAGTAAAGCATGCAGTCTTATTCATCATGTCATGTTTCAAGGAAAAAACCAGAAATCTATCAGCTTTCAAGCTCTGAGTGATGGGACAGGAACAAAAACCACCTCAAATTGGGGTTGGTGAGGAGCAAAGTTGACAACGGGTCCTGAGAGGCCATTTGTTTTACTTATTTATCACCTGTCAGAAAGGAAAAGGGAACCAGCTAGGATATAGGAGTCAATGAAGCTTCCAAAATTGCCCTGATTTAGAGAACATTTGAGAGGAATACAACGAGTCTAGAATGTTTGCTACCATTAGGATGACTATGAGAATTATCATCTGAACCAAGACCCCTTGGTGAATAAAAGGGGCTCAATTATTAATTATTCCAGCACAAAAGACCATCAATCAGGACTGCCCCAGGCAAATCAATGTATGTGGTCACCATAGTGATAAAGTTTTAGGGTAGAGATTTATTCTAATTTTGCCAGATAACTGACAGATCAGATTCTAACTGCTTTGTTTTAGAATTTTGGAATAAAAACAGATATTTAGAGTTCAAGTAGCTTAATCTTTCAGTTTTACAAAAGAAGATAAAAGGATAAAAACTTTATAAACAAATTAAGAAATATTGGCAAAGATCAGAGTCTTCTTTTGAAATTATTAAGTTAAGAGCCAGGGATCCATATTTTCAAAGTGCTGTATCAGGGAGCCAGTTTATTCCTAGAGAGTTTTGGCAATATTTGTCTCCTTGTCATGGTCATAGGGAAAAAATGAACTTAAGTATCATCTCTCAAGCTTAGTATTCAACTTCATGCTTAATCCATAATGACTAAGTAGAAGTTATATTTATCAAAATGAAGACTTATGCATGGAGCCAAAGACCACTAATCCTATGAGTTCTCATGAAATACCATGTTCACTCTTTTGTACCCCAACTTACACAGAATCAACGTATCTGTCTCATAAGCCAGATATGTGTGCCTAACAGCAGCCCCTGCTTTGCACAAGTCAGATATAAAACTCAGAAGTCATATACACAGGTCTGCACACTTGCCTGTGCATGAAGCAAGGCATCTGGACCCCAACTAAAAACATGAAAAAAATCTACCAGGCCTTATAGAGAGACCACATGCAGATCCTGAAGGGCTTGCTGAGGAGACACAACGTCATGGTATAAAGCAGAGATGAGGGGTGGAGGAGAGAATGAATATACTCAAGAACACCTGACTTACGGATTCCAGAGAAACATGATGCTCAGCCTTCTGTGGAAACACAAAAACTTACCTTATCTGTCTTTTTCTGTAATTTTCTTCAAATGGGTATTTGCTATTTTCTCTTGTCTCAGCTCCTTTTGTTGATCAGTCTCTGCCACTGCCATTCAGGTCTCTGCCTCTCTTCTGGGGAAGGAAATTAAGCAATTTACTCAAAAGACAGGAGGCTGAGAGGGAATGTGGGCAAGGGTAAAGTTCTCTCCCATTCTGCACTAAACTTGCCACCTCCTGCCCTGGCCTGTCCTGACAGTACACTCTTCCGTATTTCTGGGGTCCAGATCTTATCTGCCCCCCTTAGGGAAGGCCATCTTTCCAATTCTTTCTTGATTGTGCAAAGTGGAAAGGAGTATGAAGAAGGGAATATAAGAGGCAAGGAGGTACTGAGGATAGATGGAAACAGGAAGAGGAAGTAATTCAGAGTTAGAGGTAAATGTACCAATTTTCAAAAAAGGACAAGTCCTAATTATGCATCCCTGCTGTGGACATCAACTCCTAGTAAGTTTCTAGGCCAAATGATGTACAAATGCCTCAGTTTCAACTTCACTTCAGAGGCTATCAACCCTTTCCCCTGCCATCTCAGTCTGAGGCCCACGAACGTGGCTGGGGACTGATGTGGCGGGATGTGCATGCTCTTCCCTCACAGGAGCTGGGTGGCAAACCAAGCCTGGCTGCTCCACTGCAGGCCAGGACAAGGTACGCAATACCATCCTCAGCACCACACAAAAGTAACAGGCACCCTCAGCCAGTACTTTCCAGGCTCTTTTACACAAATCCACTGGCCCTTTTCTGAACATCTTGGGCCACTTATATTTCAGATTCTGACATTTTTAATTTTAGAAAGAAAATACTATATCTACTACATAGTACTTTCTATGCCGAGTTTGATTTGGGACAGTCACACATAATCACACATTGTTTTTTCTATAGCTAAATATATGCACGTTCACATGAAGTGGATAAGAACTATAAGTAATCTCCCTCAGGTTCAGGTCAGATTTGACTGTCAAAATATTTTGTTACAAATTTACAAATTTGTTGTTTTGTGGATTTTAGATTTTGGCATAATGAATAAGAGATTAGGGTCCCATATTTATTCATAATGCTCTTTGAAATGAAAGATGAACACAGGAAGAATTTAATACTGTATTACAAGGTTTTTTTCCAGAGAAATCACCCACTTTTAAGTATTGCTTTCTTCAGTGTTCCTCAACTCTACTGTCTGTTGATGATAAGAATTAAAAATAAAATATCCCCATAATTTATCCTAAGACAAAGGAGCGGTGTTATCAGCACACACAGTGGGTCATGTTCTGTGGGTCATGTTCAGCTATCTGGGTCATGTTCTGCCCCTGCCCCTTAGTAGCAACGCGACTTTAAACAAGTTACTTGTCTATTCTTCACTCTTGTCTCCTGTAAAATGAGAATAAATCTCAGTATCCATCTCATGGGACTGTCTGAAAATTAAATGAAGTAACACATGATGCACTAAAACAAAGTCTAGCACAGAGTGAGTGTGTTAGGCACTGTCATTATTCAGCTCGTGATACTTCCCAGTCTGACATCAAAATAGTGGCTGTTAAAATTCAGTGTTACACATGGTATTGAATTCCTTGGAATAATTTGGGGAAACAAAGAAGGAGCTGCTGCCCACAAGAGCCTCTTCCCCATTGGTTAAGCTCCTTCATCACAATGAGCCTTGATCAAATGTGCAATCCATGAAAGAAGTCAAACTTGAAGCAAATCAGAGTTAGAACTGCAATTCCAACAATTTTAGTTTGCATCATCTTCAAAGTGTATTGGAGTATTCCTTTTATTTCCACTAATCAGAACCACTGCTCTAATCCTAACACAGAGTTTTTCCAAGTTATATTTGGTACAATTTATCCTTACTTATCAGTGACATAATACTTACAGTACTGTTAGAAGGTTTTGTGAGATGTTTATAGACTTTTTAAAGGTTGTTTTACAAGGTTTTCAGATATGTTATCTCACTTTATTTCCACACTGCAAAGAAGACATTATTTTCTGTATTATAAAAAGGAACTTAGGGACCTCACTGGCAGTGCAAGGGGTTAAGTGTCAGCACTATGAAGCTATCTGCAGCCACTGCAGCATGAGTTCGATCCCCGGCCAGGGAGCTACCCACATGGTGCATCAGACCTCTCCTCTTACCCGCTTCTCCCCTCAGCAAAGTCCCTCAAAGAGGGACTCCCTACCAGGTGCTCAGGAAGCTTTGTGTTGGGAAGCTTTGCACAGTGTATTTCAGTGGATCTGCCTGTTCAGCTCCTTACTGTCTCAGGTGAATCCTCTCATCCCCGCACCTCTGGCCTGTACCCCAGTTTTTGTATGCATGAATAAATCTTTAAAAAAATAAAAATGAACTTAGGTTCAGCCTCATACATTTATTAAATATAAACACAAAGAAAGATAAAATTAAATTCTTATAAGACAAAACAAAAGAAAGAGGTCATGGGGACATCAGTCACTTAAGAACATGTCACCTACCAAGAGGGAGAAAGTCAACATGCAATTTCACTCCCTCTGCAATCCCTCTGAAGGCCAAGAGCTAAGCTTGAAAGCATCTCTGAACCTCAGTTTGCTCAGGAATCAAACAGTCCTCACTTTCCAGGTGATGGCCCTAAAACTAAAGATGCAAACTGACTTACCCAAGATACCATGCAACAGGTTTTATTTTTTTAACTTCTGATTATTTTACACACGCCCACTGCTTGAAGATTTCTCTTACCCAGTGTCACACTGTTACTAATTCTGAGCTGGAATTCCAACCCAAGTCTCCTTGGGTTGTAGGTTCATCTGTGCAAAGCTTCCCAACACAAAGCTTCCTGAGCACCTGTTAGGGAGTCCCTCTTCGAGAAACTCTACCAGACACAAGCACAGGAGAAATCAGGAGATAGTGAGTATACAGAGGATCTGCGTTCAGAATGACCTGGGGTGTAGGATCACGGACAATGGCCTTACCATGATTTATTTCCCAGTAATATTGGGGAAAATAATTCATGAGTTAAATATGTAAAGTGTTGACAGAATATGCAACAAAGGAGACACAAAAATCATAGATTCCCTTCCTCCACTTTCCCCTGGTTTTCAAAAGCATCTTTCTGCTGTTTCACCTGTGTTCCTTCCTGAGAGCCATTCTAAAGTACAGACAATGTGGGGAATGCAGGCCAAGCAGAATGAAGGACAGCAACAGAGGCTGGATGCCCTCGGACAGAGAGCCACGGTCTCTCCCAGACAACAACACAACTAAACAAGTAACCCTGTCATTTTTGGAGGGCATGCCAAAGCTCCCGAGGAAGCAGCTGGGAGCCTTCTGATCTCCCGCACCACTAATGAGGACACGGACCATTCCAGCTCTCTATTTGTACAACTGCAATGACAAGATACATTTTCTCACTACCCTTGGCTCTGACCTTGTCAGGAATTGCTGCTCTTTCACAACACTGCAGACTCCACAAAGATGCTGTGACGTGGAAAGAACTGGAGCTCGGAGGACCCCTGCTTATCACTGCTGGGTCCCAGTCTGTCAGATGTCATCAAGGCCCTGACCACACAGGCAAGAAGATGACCATCTCCCGCCAGCCCAAAGAGCTAGAGTAGTTACTACTCAGTAATCTGAACACAGCAGGGAAAATACCAGGCACTGCCCAAACACGTAGTGGATGTGAGGTTGGTTTTCTTTATTAAAACCTGTGACTGCCATTCAAACCAGTCTTGATATGTCATTTACCAGTCCCAGTGCCCTGTCCCTGACACCCTTCTACCCTATACCCATGGAGCCTTTTTTTTTTTTTTTTTTTAGCTGTAAGCACAATGGCTTGAACAATAGAATTAACTATCCAATATGGGGAGACTAAAGCATTGTCTCCCACCCCCTATTGGGTGTCAATATTGTGGTGTTATATCTGTCTTACCTCTCACCATTAAATATCCCTATAATTCTTAACAAATGGGGGATTTTATTTTATTATTTTTTAAAAGATTTATTTATTTATTCATTCATTCATTCATTTATTTATTTATACATACATACATACACACATACATACAAGCACTGGGTACAGTAAGAAGCATGGGAGGGTGAGAGAATTCACCAGAGCCAGAGCAGGGAGCAGAGCAGGCAGAAGGACCAAAGTACACTGCTGAGGGGAGCAGAGGGCAGCAGAATAGGTCTGCGCGCCATGTGGGATCCTTCTCCGGTGGCTGGGGAGCAGCCGGGGATCGAATCGGCACTGTAGAGGCTGCGGGCAGCTTCACAACCCAGCGCTCAACTGCTGTACCCCGGGGGAGGCCCCTTATTTTTTTTTTAAAGGAGAGGTAGAATTAAGATAACAAGGATTGGTATTAATTTGGAAATATGGTTGGTAGATTCTTAAAAGTGATTATCTGACAAGTCAGACAAGTCCCTGCCTCTAAAATTGATAATTTATAAATATAAGATGCCAGTTTTACACTAATACTAATAACAATGTGATGAATAACTGTCAAGTGCAAACAAAACAGAGCAGAAAATCAAAGATATAAACTCCCTCAAGTATCAACTCCAGTGACTACACTGTCGGGTACAACTCAACAGATAGAAAATGGTAAAAATGAACATAGCATCAGTACCCATAATTAAGGATTGTATAAAACTGAAACTTTACTCCTTAAATACCCACCCATCCAATTTCATTGGCATTCTTTTAAAAATATATGCTTTCTCATGGTGTTAAACAGAACTTCTTAAACCTACCTCTGGCCTACATGACCCCTATTGAGTTATATAAGGATACCCTCAAGAGTTATGGAGATGGCAGTGTCCAAACTGCTTTCTCCATCCCCCTTATAGGTGTGATTCTCCTAGAAGTACTCCTCCTCTTCCACTCTATCTCATATAATAGAAGGATGAACTCAATAGCTCCCTGATTACACTTAAGTTATCTGAAACTCGGTAACTCTAAAGGTCACAGACAGAGAGCACAGGACTTGGGGAAAGAAATAGCATTTCAATGAAGGAATCTCCTATCTATCCCAAAATTGCCAAAATGTGGCCTTGGGAGAAGACCCAAATACAAACACAAGCTGTGTCTGGGCAGATAAGGACAGAGCAACTTACATCAGTGACT